AGTGGGTGTGTTTGTCTTCTGTGTGAGTCCACTACCCCAACTGTTCTTGGGGAGTATACTCCTCTCTACCAGTTCCCATGACAAAACAGTCATAACTGCAATGTTTTTTGAAAATTATAGTAATAAGTAGGGATATAAACAAAGGACTGAAAAGATGGCTAAGCCTTTAAGGGTACTTCCTGCTCTCCCAGAGGATGGAGTTTGGTTCAAAGCATCCACATTGAGTAGATCACAACTGCCTGGAACTCCAGCTCCAGGGTATCTAGTGCTTTCTTCTGGTCTCTGAAAGTTGCATTCATGTACACAATCTGACATACAGACAGCACACATGCACACACACACACACACACACACATTTTTAAATAATGAAAATATTGTGAAAAATCAAGTCATCTGATTTACACAATGCAGTCTATCCATCTTCAGAAAGTGGTACCCTAGGAGGACACTGCCCTCACTTTCTGCTCTTGGGCCTTCATGAGGTAGAATATTTAGCTTCTGCAAATGCAGAGAACTGTTGAATATGCATGTTAGAGATGGTCAAGCTTGTCCTATATGCTGATAGTTCCATACTCTGCTCACAACAGAAGTCATAACTCAACCACACTGCTCCTCCTCTGTGAGGGAAGGCTTAGTTTCTGCACTGAGATATCAACTACAAATAAATCAAAGTTAAACCAATGTATATTCCTGCTCTTGCTTCCTCATTTATCCCCTGCCAATTAAGAGAACTGTCTTGAGAATCCATAATAGAGACTTAAGTTTTAATACTCAGATATCAACTACCAATCAATCAAAGTTAAACTATGGTATGATTCATGATCTGAATTACTTAGTCATCATCATTGAAAAAAACACCAGAAGCCCAGAGAAGGGCAAAAAATTCCTCTGCATGCCTGCCTAGGGCCCAAACTCTCAGTTTTGATTTCTGCCTGGAGCCTCCTGTGTCAAGAGAGTTAGCACATGCCTACAGAGGTGCTCCTTTGTTCTTATCAACTCAAGATCACACACTGATATGAAAGCCAGTAAGAGAAGGAGACCTACAGGGTTTCCTTTCACAGCTTACCTCTCATCTCTAGGTTACCCAGAGGATACCACATCACAAGTTAAAGATGGGTATCTTCTTCATGCTGATTCTTCATAATTCTACTCTGCTGTCATTCTCATTAGAAGCAAGGAGAAATGCAAACCACTAGCTGGATTACTTTCTGTAAAGTTGGGGAAGTAGCTAAGTTAGAAGATTGCTTTGTTAACCCAGCAAAGCCCAGGATTTGATACCAAGCACTACATAAACCAGATGCTGTTGGCACATGCCCATAACCCCAGCACCTGGAAGGTGGAAGCAGAAGGATAGATTAAGTTTAAGGACAGCATAAGATACATGAGTTCCATTCTTTAAATGAAAACCAACAAAAGATTTGTTTAGTCCTACAAACTTTTTCTGTCAAAGTTCCACAAACAAGGCAACATTTTCTTCTCTCAAACCAACCGACACTTACCTATGAATACAAAGATGCTCGTGGTTGGGATGCAAATACACCAAGGTCCAAACTCATATCAGGAGATACTGTAGGAAGGAGTCCTTCCTTTGATAGAACATTCTGCCTCTGCCCCCACTTCTCCCTGTGAGGGAAACATCAAGTCCGTACTTTATTTATGTCATTAAGTTTCACACCAGCTCTGAGATCTATGTATCCTTTTACAGATAACATGAATATGTTTCAAAGAGACTAAAAGGTATTTTTTGCTGCTGACCCAGCCTGTAGGGAAGTCACATGAAACAACATGGATAGAGCTATACCCCAAGAATTTCAGATTCATTGTGTTTGATTGTGAAGTAGGTTTTGGTTTTTGAACATTCAGAAAACTTACAGCTGTCAATTTGTTGGTGCTCCTGAATTCTGTTTCACAACTTCCTCTGATTTAGAATGTCTGTCTATGCAGAAATAAAAATTGGAGTGTTTCATTTGCAAAAAAGAAAAACAGATTCTTTTGCTGTATTCATACAGCTAGCAAGCAGTGAGGACTTGAATTAAAGACTAGAATGGATATGGCTTCCAATTCCACTCTATTGTTATCCATGTGACAAATCCTGCAAAGCCATGTTCAAAGCTCAAATGTCCTGGACCAAGACCTTATTGTCACATTCTTGCCCTTGGAACACATGAAAACAAGGTGGATCCCTAAAAGGATGCAATCATATTGCTTACATAATAAGAAACAGACACATGACTGCAATTTCTTTAGTCCAGTCCTAAATGGTTGAATCTAACTACAGCACCTTTGTGAATGTCATCTCTTCCTTTCACTTCCATGCATCTCAGCCACTGTCAAACCTCTCCAGACACTCTGCAGTAGCTTAACTAATGTGTTCCAGCGTGTGCACCATACAGCCATCAAATTCCTTTGAGTTGCTCTTTAGAATAAAATCTGTTTACGGCTATTGTGAAGGGTGATGTTTCTCTGATTTCTTTCTGAGCCCATTTATCGTCTATATATAGGACAGCTACTGATTTTTTTAAATTAATCTTGTATCCTGCCACATTACTGAAAGTGTTTATCAGCTATAGTTATGTGGTAGAATTTTTGGAATCACTTATGCATGCTATTATCTCATCTGCAAATAGTAAAAGTTGGACTCTTCTCTTCCAATTTGTATCCCCTTGATCTCCTTTTGTTCTAGCTCTAGTTAGAACTTCAAGTACTATATTGAACAGATATGGAGAGAGTGCACAGCCATGTCTTGTTCCTGATTTTCGTTGAATTGCTTTGATTCAAGGGGAGAAACTTGGTCCTCCCTCAATTGATGTGACAAACTTTGTTGATTTCCCCATGGGAGGCTTCACCCTCTCTGAGGAGTGGATGGGGCTTGGAATGGGGATAAGGTGGGAGGGGTGAGGGGAGTGGAAGGATGAGAGGGAGAGGGAACTCGGATTGGTATGTGCAATAAGACTGTTATAAAAATAAAAAAGAATAAAATCTGTCTCCTGATGATGGTTTATAGATTTCTATCCCATAGGCTCCTGCTGGTTCTCCTCATCTTTAATTTACCCATTTTTTAATCTCTTTTATGTATGTTTCCTCACATACAACATTCATTCGGGAAAATATATGGGTTTTTTCTTATGTTCTTCTATAACACAGTATCTAGAAAAACCGCCTGCTTTATACTCACTGATCAAAATGGTCTGGTTGACTTTATAAGTGAACATATCTGCAACATGTAAATGAACATAAACTCTCCTCCAAAGTTTATTTCTATGTGTCTTGGTTTAAAGGACATAAGGAATGTAATGGCCTAGAAACAAGTCTTGGATCAGACATTGCACTGGTGTTTTAACATCTGAGCCTAGAAATATCCTCAGAATCACCTCCCCTATATACCAGTGTTGAGTTTATTATGAGCAGATATGTTGATGCTAGTTACTCATCAAATGACACTGGAAACATCCAGAAGTACCAGACTTAGGCCATTGATCAATAACATTTTCTAAACACAGTATATGGAAAGAGGTGTTTAGGAATAAATATACAAAGTCCAATTTTGAACCCTTGAGTCTGTTGCCTGAGAGAATGGATAAGTATAGTAGATTATGGTTCCTGCCCTTGTTGCTCTAAGGTGGTCACAGGAGCTGGGAACTCTTCACCAACTGATGCATCGTTCCTTAATCTCCTCTCAGGTGTGAGGAAAACCAGTTATGATGGCTCCTTTCCTCAAGGGAGAGGGGTAGCCAGGTTTTCTTAGCTGTTGAAAGAACTGTGTTGCCTTCAGACAAAAGGAGCTCCGTTTGTGAGGAGCATAAGGAGACCAAGCATAAAGAAACATTTAAAAAGCCGCCTGAAGGGTAGGAGACAGGCTTACAGGGGGCTCGTTCTGTCTTCACAACGAGATTTAAAGATGCAGAAATGAAAAGCAGAAGACACAGCAGCAGAAGACGTGCTCCTTCCAGATGGATTAACGTTGGGATTGTTTGCCCCAGATGTGAGCACCCAGGATTATGTTGTTGATTGAAAACCTACCCTATTACTCCTGTTAGGGCACATTCACACAGAGGCAGTAGAGATCCCCTGGGGGGTGGCATAAAGGCACAGCTGTCATTGATTCACTTTGAGGACATCACTACAAAGGTGCAGAAGCTGGGGACCAAGCAGTGTCAAGCACGAGTTACAACTTGTCACAGGCCAGGGAGCAACCACCAGGCCCTCATGCTCACCAAACCCAGGGGGATGGACATCAGACAACTGAGCCCAGAAGCCTGCAAAAGACAGAAAACAGTTTCTTTGGTCTTAGCAGCAGATGGTTTCCTTTCAGATAAGACTTCCCAAGTGTCCTCAGCATCCTTTCCTCTCAGTTAACCTTTGAAGCAAGCCCCCTTCCCCTTCCCTGGCTGCACCAGGCTCCTGCCTGCTGTTCTCCCTCAAGGACTCTGTGGAAATGAGTCAGGCTTTGCAAGTTCTGGGCAGGGCACTGTGGTGAGAGAGCGGAGATCTTCTCCCTAAGAGGGAAGACTCCAAAAGCAAGAGTGACTTCTGCTGCCTGCCTGACTTAATTCCTTCTCATACATTTTTCTCTCCCCACTCACTCCCCTCCATCACCATTAGCACTGGGGTGCCCATGTTTACCCTTTCCAAGGACTGAAAAACAATCACATTTCCTCCAAGCTTCCCCAAAGCCAGATTCTCTCTCTTCCCTGCTCTCCCAGATCCTCTGTTGTGTTTGACTTTCAACAACCCTAAGTCTATTTGAACTGCACTTGCTGTGTATCGAAGTTTCTCTCTTCGTCTCACTACTCAGCCGTGGAGAGAGCTATGTTGGACTCACCCTGGTAGCTTCCAGGGTCCACCATACTGAAGCCATTTAGTCAGTGTTTGTGAAATTCATTAGATTAGGAGGGGAGAAGCCACACAGGGTGCACTTCCACAGTGAGGAAAGGCAGGTGTTCTCAAAACGAGTGTGTTTATATGAGCTGCCTGGATTTCATAACCCAGTGTTATTGCAGGGGGATTTAGGGATGTCTGGTCTGGCAAGAGCCGTTGCTATAAGCTTGACTATTCTCTGGCCAGACCTGCCAGCAGTTCACAGGAGCAGCTTCATGCTTTGACACGGACTGGTGGAATGATAGCATTGGCTCTTTGAAATAGCAAGAAAGTGTCTGGTTCTCTGGGGTCTCAATTTCTTCTTCTGCAAAGTGATGAGTATCACCGACGTGCTTTCTGACTGCTATGCAAACAGCAGTATATGTGGAATCTGTGGAACAGATAGGCACTTTTCAGTGTCTGGCACCAAATCAGCGTGTCACCAATTTGGTTACTAATTCACTCACTGGCCGAACATATTAATTAAGAAGAACATAGCTTAGAGGCCCTCAGCCTTCAAACAAGGCTGGATTTTGAGCTGCAGGTTGATAGATAGATAGATAGATAGATAGATAGATAGATAGATAGATAGATAGATAGATATAGAGATAGATAGCCTGGGGACCCACAAATCATACCAACCAGAGAAGCAGGTTGGCTAACTGTAGATTTTCACATCTCCTTCCTTTCCTTCAATTCCCATCATCCAACCTTGCCCCCAGCTCTGTAGCAGACCACACATCCTGTGGTCTCCCATTCCTCTAGGCCCCCATCTCCAGTGGAGATGGAGGATCACACAGATCTTCCCCTCCAACCTTCACCCTCCCTGTAAGCATTTGCAGGGAAAACCCCAGTCAGAGAAGCAAATAAGCCCGCTATGCAGGCAATCTAGCTTCAGATCTTCACTCTCCCTCTTCTCCAAGCACAGTCCTCTAGTATCACCCCCAGCTTTATAGAAGGTTACTGTGCAGGCTGGGTGATGGTGGTGCACACCTTTCATCCCAGCACTCAGGAGGCAGAGGCAGACAGATCTCTGTGATTTCTAGGTCAGACTGGTCTACAGAGCCAATTCTGGGACAGCCAGAGCTACACAGAAAGAAATCCTGCCTCAGTAAAACAAAAACAACACAAAACAAAAAAAACCTACTTGCTACAGCTTCTCTCATTCTCTCCCCAATTCTCAGGTCCTGGTGGAATACCCAGACAACTCCCTCATATGGACTCCTCAGCACCTCCACTTCTTTCCCATCCTCATTCCTAAGTACCAACTCCCAAGACCTAGAAACCCATTCAATCTGGAACCCTCAATAGCCACACTTGGCTGGATCCCAGAAGAATTTCTTGCCAGGAAACACACAGCCGCTATAGCCTCCTAAAATCCAGAAAGGGAACAGAAACCAAGGAACAAGACATCTGCCCAAAAAACAGTAAGGGTAATACCAGGTATTGGCAACTAGAATTACAGCCATTACAAACCCCAGATGCCTAGATGCTGGCACAAAAATAATCAACAATATCCAGGACAATATGTCTCCACTAGAGCGCAGCAACTCTACTGTAGTAAACCCTGAGAAATGCAGCATAAGTGAAGCATAAAGCAAGGAACTTTAAAACGCATTTATGAGTATGATTGAAGTTCTTAAAGAGGAAATTAATGAATCAATCCCTTAAAGAAATCTATGAAAACATGGACAGTGGAAACAAATGAATAAAACAGTTCAAAACCTGAAAGTGAAAAGAAATTCAAAACAGAAAATCAAAACTTAGAGAAATCAGGAAATTAAAAAGTCAGAAACTTTAACAGAACCTCCAGGGTAAGCCTCACCAACAGAATACAAGAGATAGAAGAGAAAATCTCTGGTATTGAAAACAGGACAGAAGAAATAGATACCTGAGTCAAAGAAAATCTTAAATCTAAAAAATAATTCCTGGTGCAAAACATCCTGGAAATCTGGGACACTATGAAAAGAACAAATCTAAGAAAAATAGGAATATGATGGGGGAAGTCCTGTACATTTGTTAATAAAGCACTGTTGGCCAATAGGAATTTAGATGGGTGGGACTAGGAGTCCAGGAGGATTCTGGGAAGGAGAAACACAAGAGAGTTCGAGATGTAACGCCATGGGGTAGGAGCCCGGAACTATTCTCCGGTAAGAGACATACTTAGATTAACAATTATGGGGTAATTACTTAAGTCAGAGCTAGCCAGTAAGAAACAAGCAAGGTCAACAGCTTCATAATTAATATAGCTTCCTGTGTGTTTATTTGGGACTGATGCGGCTCTAGAACCAGGCTGGCAGAAAGGCTCCTCTCAAAGAAAAAGAGTGAATTTCCACGCAAAATAACAAAAGATTTAAAGGAATTTTAGAAACAGAAGAACAGAGAGAAGCACAGATTTTTGGTAGCAGCATTTTCTCAGGTGGGCTCTGTTTTGCTATCCACAAGCCGAGATTCACATGGCTCGCTTACCGGAGTCTTCCTGACTCGGCATAAAAAGAAAAAAAACAAAAACAAAACAGCAGCAAGGTTGTTTTAAGAGAATCTGCTAACGATTAAAAGGTGTGTACGTACAGCTGGAAGTGACAGCTTTTGCTGGATGTCAGCATGGACTGAGGCGGTAAGCTGGAATCACGCTTACGCCCGCCATCTTGGAAACAGCCGCAGTTTTACAGATAAGACACGTGGCCAGAAAAACGTAAAGATTTACAGTAAAGTCAGACTTGGATGAACAAAACCTCTAAAGGTTTACAGTGTGTTTAAAAATATACATGAGATTGAGAGAGAAAATGAAACGGCAAAGTGGTAAATAAATACAAAAGCTGGTGTTGTGGTGGAGCACACTGGTAGGATTTACTCCAGAGGCAGAGGCAGGCAGATTTCCAAAGTGAAATCCTGTCTCAAAGAAAAATAAATAAAAGTAAAATAAATAAAGTAATAATAGATAAATAAATAAGCCACGTAAAGATGGAAAATACACAGAGAGTCTGGATACTGTATGCTATTATGTTTTTCAGTTTTAAAATTGCTCAGGAAGGAACAGCTACTAAAGTACACTTGATTATAAATGCTGCTGAATTAATCCAACTTATATCTTTTAAAAATGCCTTCACTTCAAAATTTAAGTATAAGGATATAGTTACTTGGAAAAGGAGTTTTTATTTATGTTTCTACAGAAAATGAAAAGCTGAGGATTCCTTCCAGGCTTCTGTGGTTTGACGAAACAAGACCCCTGGAAGCAGTGGACCAGGTGTTCCAACAATCGAAACAGCTAAGATGATGCAGTCTTACAGACCCCGAAAATAAGGACTTATACAGGTTTCTGAGTTTTGTCATGATCCCCATGGTATAAACAGCGCCCCCTTCCAGCATGAAGCAGTTTGGAATGAGCGACGTCCTAATTCCCATCTTGTTTATAAATCTTTGTTTTCATTTAAATGGGATTGTTTATAATTGGCTAGTGATCACAGCCAATCTTTTTTAATGGCAAAAAAGGGAATTATGGTATGGGTATTGTTTTTCATTTATTGACACAAATTCAAGGTCAATTTTGTGATGTGTATATTTCTCCTCTTGATTAAGTATTGTGTTTATACTTATCTTTTAAAATGTAATGCATAATTGAATGCAGACTATAGATAGTTACTTATAATAGAATTTATAGTTAGGTAAGTTAGGTTTTCTAGATATATAGAGATGTATTTAAGATAGACAATCTTCAAATCTTTCAAAGGCCTTCAGAAAATGGCATTTAAAATGGTTTAGGGTTTTTCTTGACAATGAGAAATGTCTGCTCTTGGCAGCACCAATTATGTCTGAGAGGAAGATGGGCATCGAAGAAACTCATTATGGAGTTTGCTTTCAACATGGCAAGATTAGCCATTTAGGCAAGAAACTGCTCTTGCCTAGACTGTTTGACTGTTGCTGTATAAACTGAACATGCAGGGCCCACAGGAAAGTGACTGCTAAACTCAGTCTTACAGGTTCCTGCTTCATGAAAGAGTCTACGAGACTTTCTGCAGGACACAGAAAAATGACTGACCCACTGCTGATGCAGATGGACAGTTTGAAATTTCCTGCTTTGCTGAGAAGTGTTCCAGACACATTGTGGCCTATGGGCTGAAGATGGATGCCCCAACGTTACAGAGGAACTTCGGGTGACTGTCCAGGCAGTAAGATATCTCTGTCAATCCTAGTGTTTATATATTATCCTTCTGTGGTCTTTGATGGAGTTGAAGATAGATAGTTATAATTATAGTTTTCCTTAGTTATGATAAAAGATACATATAGAACTTTGGACTCATAAGGATGGGATGGATGATATTTTCTTTAAATCTTGCTAAAATATTGTAACTATGTTCTTATTTGATAACTGTTCTGTTATATATAATTTGACTATGTTAAAGTTAAGACCTTTCTTTTTGTTTAAACAGAAAAGAGGAGATGATGGGGGAAGTCCTGTACATTTGTTAATAAAGCACTGTTGGCCAATAGGAATCTAGATGGGTGGGTCTAGGAGTCCAGGAGGATTCTGGGAAGGAGAAACACAAGAGAGTTCGAGATGTAACGCCATGGGGTAGGAGCCCGGAACTATTCTCCGGTAAGAGACATACTTAGATTAACAATTATGGGGTAATTACTTAAGTCAGAGCTAGCCAGTAAGAAACAAGCAAGGTCAACAGCTTCATAATTAATATAGCTTCCTGTGTGTTTATTTGGGACTGATGCGGCTCTAGAACCAGGCTGGCAGGAAAGATTCTCACAGGAAAAAGCTTCTCATTACAGGAATAGGTGAAAGAGAAGAAACCCAGATCAAAATCATGGAAGAAAATCTCCCTAACCAAAAGAAGGAGTTACTTCTCAAGGTGAAAGAAGCATACAGAAAACCAAATAGACTAGACAAGAAAAGAAATTCCCTCAGCACGTAATAAAACACTAAGCATACAGAAAAAGGAAAGAATAATAAAAGCTGCAAGGGAAAATGATGAAGTAACATATAAAGGAGAACTATTAGGATAATACCTGATGTCTCAATGGAAATTCTAAAATCCAGAAGGACCTGGATGGATATTCTACAAACTCTAAGAGACCAGAGATGCCAGCCCAGATTACTATATCCAGAAAATCTTCTCAATCATCATAGATGGAGAAAATTAGCAGTATCTATAAACAAATACAACCTTACAGAAGGTTCTAGAAGTAAAACTTCAATATGAAGAGGTTAACCATACCAAGAAATCACACAAATAAATTATCCCAGACCAGCAAATCACAAACACACACACACACACACACACACACACACACACACCACCTCCACCACCACCACCACCACCACCAACAACAACAACACACCAAAAATAAAATATCAAGAATCAACAAACTCTGCTTACTAATAGCTCTCAATGTCAATGGTCTCAATGCCTCAAGATAAAGACACAGACTACGAGAATGGATGTAAAACCATGGTCCATCTGTCTTCTGCTGCATCCAAAAAACACACCCTAGCATCAAAGATAGATTATCACCTCAAGCTTTAAAAAAGTGTGAGAAGATATTCTAAGCAAATGCACATAAGAAAACAAGCTGGTATAGCCTTTTAATACCTGACAAAGGAGGCTTGAACCAAAACTAATCAGGAGAGATAGGGAAAGAAATCTATATACCCATCAAAGGAAAAATCCACTAAGAGAACATTGCAATTCTTAACATGTATGCACAAAACACAAGGGCAGTTCATAAAAGAAGCACCACTACAGCTTAAATCACATATTGACCTTCACACATTGATAGTGGGAGACTTCAATACCCTACTCTCATTAATAGGTCATCCAGACACAAATTAAAGCAAGAAATGCAAAGCTAACTACTTTTATAAACCAAATGAACCTAACATATCTACAGAACATTTCACCCAAACCAAAAGAATATACCTACTTCTCAGCGCCTCATGAAACTCCAAAATTGACTGAATTAAATGCAAATCTCGACAAATAAAAAGAAAATGAAATAACACTGCATCCTATCTGACTACCAGGGATTAAAGCTGGATCTCAACAAAAGAAAGAACAGGAAGCTTAATCATGGAAACCAGGAAGAGTAGAGGGAGAGGAAACTGTAATCAAGATAGACTATATGCAAAAAAATCTTTTTTCAATAAGAGAAAAAAGAAATGTCTATGTATTAATGAAGCTATAAAATGAGTATGGGACCTGATCTAACCTGGCTTCTCTGGCACCCAAGAGTGTAGAAAATAATCTTTTGAACTTTGACTACACAGGATAGTGGCCATGGTTCCTGCTACTATCCCCATGGGGTTAGTGAGGGAAATAAACCATACAATGTTGTTGACCCTTAAAAAATATGAACATCTAACACCGCTCTGTCCTCAGATCCCATTGAGCAAGCCAGGAATAAGGATTAGCTTTTGTTTTTACTCTTATATAGACTGAGTCTGCTAGACTCTAAGTGCCTTGGAGCCAACAACAGTGACAGTTTTATACTCAAATTCTTAATATAGTGTCTGGCAAGCGTGGGGGGGGGGTGGAACTAGTGAGTAAAAAAAAGAAACAAGGGAATTATTGGACTGTCAATTCTTTTCATCTGAGAACTGGAAAGGTTGTGAAGATCAGTAATGCTGATCCTGTGCTATTGGCATGCACCGATTTCTAGTCAGATGTGGTGACCAGGGCAGGGCAGGAAGTGTTTCCGCTGTTGAATCTGTGAACAAAAATATCGTGAACAAAAATAATTCAGCATCTTTCTCAATCTACTTAGTATCTCTGGGCAGTAATTGTGGATTGGGAGAAATTCCATGCTCTTCTTTTCTTAAATGTTGACCAACAAGCTTATGATCTTGAATTCGTAGTAATAATTAGTATTGATTAACTTGATTTGCAAACTTGGGCACATTGCTGCAGGGTTGGGATTCTGAAGATCCTATTGTTACTGACTGAGAACAATCAGAATCCATAACCACCATGAGATACTTCTGGATCAAAGAGCCAGGCAGACTTCTGATGCTGCCCAAACAATGGCTCAAGGAGTAGAAAGGAAAGAGAAAGAGACCACACTTTCATGTGCTAGCCATATGCACGGACTTTGTATTTGCGTGGCAGTAATCTAAGATGCCTGCCAACTAAACATCCCAAGATTTTTTGTTTTTGTTTTTGTTTTTGAGTCCAGCCTTTATCTGATCATCTGAACAATGAAATGTGAGCAGCATTCTGAAGAACCAGCATTCCATCTTACACACTCACCCTCTGCTGCGGCAATGAACCATATGGCGGTGCCTCCTCCTTCAGCCTGCAGTCCAGAGAGACGATGATCTGGACCAGAGTCCTCAACTGATTCCACCTGAAAATGTGTTATGGAGAAATCAGTTCCATGGCTTAAGGCACTGAGACCTATAGCCATTTAGGCTACAGTATAGCATTTACTAACCCAAAAGATAGAAAGTGTTAAGCCTTTAATGCTCCTTTTTTTTTTCTTTTTGCCTATGAGGTTGGTATTGGAAGACAATTCTTCAGGACTCTCATGCATCCTATAAGTCTTGCAAGCAAGACACCAGCTACCTTTGTTTCAGAGTATCTTCTTAGGGACATCGATAGAGCTAACAGCCTGGAAAATAGGATAAGTGGCTTCTTCCAGAGGAAATGCTAAGCACACTTACTGGCCGTTTTAAACCCAGGTGGTCTATGCTTGGCGTCTCCTCATTTAATACAGCTCATTGTGTGTGCTGAAATCCCTCTTGGCTATTTGCAAGGGAAATATATATAAATACGGGGATGTCCATACTCTGCTTTGCAATGAGTAATAAAGTCCTTGTATATGCCCCAAAACTCGCATGTCTTCTGCCAGCATCTTTGAAATTGTACAAGCAAAAAATTTATGATTGGTGGTTGGTAAATCTTGAACTTACCTGTTAGCACTGATGAAACTGAGCCTCAGAGAGAGAATTGCTCCAAGTGAATCTATTAATAATTAATCAATTTCATTTACCCTATTGCTTGCCATGGATAAAAAGCCAAAGCATCGCTTATCTAATCGTTTATTGCTGAATCCATTTTTTCTTTTATTCTGTTGGTGTTTATCAACTACTTTACTTCAAGCACTATGCTAAACTGATGTTTTCTAGGGTTCTTTACAAATATCACCATGGAGTTTCCCCCAACATAACCAATTTGGATTCATAAAGTGAGCTATTTAAGATTATTTTAATCTTGGCAGAAATTATACTTACTTTTAATGACTTTTATCCAATAAATAGATACCTTGTAGTATAGCAGAGTGTCAGATTTTATATAAATTAATATCCAGCACACACTTTGGCTATTGGTACAGTAGTGGATCTGGAAGCGTGGACAATTCAGGAGCAAACATAAAATCTATGCAGAATTAACAGTATTTGTAGTCTTAAAAGCTACTCGCTTCTCAGACACCCACAGCTAAACACTGAGCTGAACTCCTGGAATCCTGTTGCAGAGAGGGAAGAGTGATGAGTAAAGGGGTCAAGACCAGGCTGGAAAACCCCAAACAAACAGCTGACCTGAACAAGGGGAGCTCATGGACACCAGACTGATAGCTGGGAAACCAGCATAGGACTGTTCCAGACCCCCTGCACCAGGATGTTTGTTAGGAGGCCTGGGCAATCTATGGGGCCTCTGGTAGTGGATCAGTATTTATCCCTAGTATACAAATCGACTTTGGGAGTCCATTCCACATAGAACAATACTGTATCAGCCTAGACACAAGGGGGAGGGCTTAGGCCCTGCTCCAAATGATATGACAGACTTTGAAGATGCCCCATGGAAGGCCTCACCCTCCCTGGGGAACAGAAAGGGGGTAAGATAGGGGGCTGGTGGGGGGCAGGGGAGAAGGGGAGAGAGAGGGAACTGGGATTGACATGTAAAACAAGTTTGTTTCTAATTTAAATTTTTAAAAAAGGAAAAAAAAAAAAGACCAGGCTGTAGGCAAGCCTGTAGGGCATTTTCTTAATTGATGATTGGTAGGGGAGGGCCCAGCCCATTGTGGGTGGGACACCTCTGGCCAGGTGGTCCTGGGTTCTATAAGAAAACAGGCTGAAGCTGGGCATTGGTGGTGCACACCTTTAATCACAGCACTCAGGAGGCAGAGGCAGGCAGATGTCTGTGAGTTCGAGGCCAGCCTGGTCTACAGAGTGAGTTCCAGGACAGCCTCCAAAACAATACAGTGAAAACCTGTCTCAAAAAACCAAAAAAAAAAAAAAAAAAAAAAAAAAAGAAAAGAAAAAGAAAAAGAAAAAAGAAAAAAAAAGAAAGCAGGCTGAGCAAGCCTTAGGGAATAAGCCAGTAAGCTTTCCATGGCCTCTGAATTGGCTCCTGCCTCCAGGTACCTGCCCTATTTGAGTTCCTGTCCTGACTTCCTCTGATGATGAACAATAACGTGGAAGCCAGATAAATTCTTCTCTCTCTCTCTCTTAAAAGAAAGAAAGAAAGAAAGAAAGAAATAAAGAAAGAAAGAAAGAAAAGCTACTCGTTTCATACAAAGAGTACTGAGACCTAAGCAGAGACATCACACGATTTTTCTCTGACTTTTCCTAGGGACTTCCACTAATAAAATGAAACAAGAGGCTAAGCATAGCTAAACTGCAACAGGGGTGTGTACTTTCCCCCTCTGCAAAAGTCTGCTCACCTGGGGCCCCAAGAAATCCAAGCCAGAGTCTCCTAGCAGCCCGCCTGGAAGTCCTCACTCCCAGCTCGGTGGAGCCGGCTTGGGTTGGAATGAACAAGGTTGAACTCTTGACTCTGCTTCTAATTGACTACTTCCATGACTCTGGGGTAGGTAGTTTTGACCTTTCTGAGGCCTTATCTTCTCTGCCATAAACTTTGCCATCCTGTTTTATAAAATTCTCAAGAGGATTAACAAATAAGACCCCGCAGGTAAAGGACACTACCTAGCACATAGTAGGCTTTCAATAGTAGTTGCAACTTCCCTTATCACTGTCATCATGTTACTTTGGCTGAATAAAATGAGCATCTCTTTAAACAAAAAGAAAATTAGAGATTAGGTGCAGAGCCACTGGCTGGAAGCCAACCAGGGAAGATAAAGCTTTATAATTGCCTCTCCTGGGAAAAGCAATAAATCCAGGCAGCTGTGCTGCTCCCACACTTGAACAGCCAGAGGAGAGCTGTGTCTGAGGACTTCTGTCTTGGAACAAATGAGCGCCTACCACGTACAAAGCGCTCCGTGCCTGGGATGATAGACACAGGTGGGCAGCTTCTGTTCTGCCCTCTGGGAATGTGTCATCTGTATAGACTAGACAAAGGGAGAGTTAGACAACCAAGGAAGTCATTTAATACGGAGCAAGCTGGATCAGGGAAAGAATATGCATCACATGGCCGTCGAGGGTGAGATTCCAGTGTGACAAGGGGAGGCCTATCACAGGCCTCATAGGGATAGAAGGGCATCAGGAATAAGAATGGATAGAAAAGCTTCAGTAGAGAGACCCAGGGAAACAACAAAGAAAGTAATGAGTATAGCAAGGGGTAGGTTCATTGAGAGAGCAGCAAGTAAGGCAATTTGGTTGCAATTAGGGTGGTATAACCAGTGTCTACACTATAGATGGCCATAGTGTAGCTTAATGTGCTTACCAGTGGGAACAGAAACCTCTGAACAATAAGGAGGAAGGTTATGCTGGCAGTCACAAGGATGACAGGCTGGAGAAAGAGGTTGGAACCAGAAGGTCAAGTAGGTGACTATGCTTTATGTGGTGCGCGCAGAATGGAAGCCTAACAGATCAGGGAGCTGTTCTCCACATCCCGTGCTTTAATGTAGTGCTATTGTCAGCTGTGGGTGAGGGAGAATGATTCTTTTTGAGGAGATAGAGATAGAGAGAGAGAGAGAGAGAGAGAGAGAGAGAGAGAGAGAGAGAGAGAGAGAGAGAGAGAGAGGTGGTTAAGATGTGGACATGTTAGGGAGATATGGAGGCAGTTAGGAGAGGGAAATGAGGGTTTGAATATGATCATACATATATATAATTTCTCAAGAGTCAAGAAAGATTATAATTGAAAAGCCTTACACATAGGAATCTGTCATAAATGATTAGTAAGGCCCACACAAGGATTCATGTGCTAGGAAGCGCACAAAGGCACAGAAAGGAAAAGAGCACGGAAAGGAAGGAGGAGGGAAGAGAGGGGATGGGGGCTAGGGGAGGGAACGGAACAGAGGGGCAGGGAGGGAGGGAAAAACAAGGGAAACAAATCTCAACAATAGCAGAAAGGTTAGATTATTATATGTGTATGGAACACTTGCATACATTAAAAATCCTATTTCTTCAGATAGTTCCTCAATCTAAAGATGTGAAAACAGTGTGTTCTTTAGCTCTGGGCACATTAAGGTTACACAGCCATGCTTCTAAATCATATTTTTGAAAACTGAGGGGAAGCTGTTCTCAAAAGGATGTTGAATTAAGAAGAAATAACCTACTGAATTATATATACTTTAGGGTAGCATGCCAGGGTTCTTGAATTGAAGCAGATTTCATTTCCTTCTTCAGACATCTATGAACTTTTGAATTTACATTTGTAAGTATCAAAATAATAGGCGTTCAGTGGAAGATTATCAAGTTCCAGGTAAGGCACTATGAACTTCACACATGTGTCATCCCATTCAATCCTTGTAATAACTACAAAACAGAAACAATTATTGGACCAGTTTTACAGTTGGGGAAACAGAGGCTTACCCAGGTTAATTGATCAAAGTCACCTGGGTGGGAAAGGGCAGTGGTCAAAGCCAAAGTCAGATTCAGTGGCCTCAATCTCTCTACACTCGGTTACTATATTAACCCTCCCACTTTAACTCACAATGTCCTTCTTTCCCTCTATGTTTTACTATTAAGGGAGCATCAGATATTCAGTAGAGGGGCGTATGACCTTCAGAGTAGACTCTGGTTTTCTTTCTGCCTTGTAATTTACCTTTTAATGGCAAGGTCACTGCAGTACCAATGATGACTTTGTTGTAGTCGAAGGCATTACAAAAGGCCAAAGACAACTACTTTCCATTGTTAGCAATTCTCTAATTAAGTAAGCTATGTTAGATAGCACTAGAGCCAGTCATTAGAGTTTGCAAGTAGATAAAGAACAAGTAAGAATGTGGTTTTTTTTTTTTTTGGATTGTTTGTTTTTTGTTGTAATGTCATTGTTTTCACTTTGGAACAGAACGAAATTAGAAAGATGAGCCATTCTCCACCCCACCTTCCCCCCCGTCCCGTGAACCCTAACTATGTTTCTCCAACAGGCAGGGCCAAAGAGAAGCACAACAAAGCTCGCTGGCACTTTTGATGCAGCTCGGCCACTTGAAGCTGTTGTAGGGCCTTGGAAGAGTACTCCCACTTGTGCGTCTGTTTCCTTATCTATAAAACAAAGCTGTGCATGTGACCTTTCCAGCTCTAGTGATGTCTGTCTTACATTTTTCTGACAAAGCTAGTAGGCTTCCAGGTAAAGGAACCCAACATGTTATACGGCTAGAAGTTCTCCCCAGGGAAAGGAGGGCCTCTGAATGCCATCCTTCCCAGACCTGAAACCCCATTCACATATCACAGGCAAGGCTTTCCACAGCAAAGCATCCAAAATGAGGGTTTGCCAGGGAGACCAAGTGGGACAATGCAGTAAGGAGAACATGGCTCTCTTGGGGTGAGCAGATCAATTTTTACCCATGATTCCCTTGGGAAACTGCTAAGAACACTGAGTTCTGACATTCCTCCCTGTCTCCAAGGGAATCATAATCCCTTGGATGGCTAAACTCATTTCTAAGACGAGAAGAGGAAGTTACTTCTGGTACATGTGGTGTGTTTTCTCCCCTGACAATGCACTCATTGGGCTGGCAGCAGCTGGCTTGATTTTTTCTCTTCACCACTTGATATCCTGCTTATGACAGTGCACAGGAAAATCAAGGCCAAACACAGATGCTGTGTGATGTAAAGTGGCTGAGATCAGGTTTTAATGAAGAGAGACTCTAGTATTTTCATACCATTTGAGGGTAGTAGGACAGGGGCCAGGGAGATGGCTCAGCAGTTAAGAGCACTGCCTATTCTTCCAGAGGACCCAGATTCCATCCCCAGCACCCACATGACAGCTCACAACTGTCTATAACTCCAGTTCCAGGGGATCCCATACCCTCATACAGACATATGTGCGGGCAAAGACAGCAATGCACATGAAATAAAAAGAGAAGCCTTGTAGAATATTTGTTTAACTATGCAAAGATGTGTTGCATTTGTTTGACTGTGTATGGATGTGTTCCATCTTTTATGCTGCAGAATATTTATTTAACTGTATAAAGATGTATCGCATGTGTTTAATTATGTAAAGATGTATTGCTGTTTCACCTTGCCTGCCTAAGATACCTAATTGGTCAAATAAAAATCTGAATGACCAATAGTGAGGGAGGAGGTACAGGCAGAACATCCATGCAGGAAGAGTAAGTATCAGGAGGAATTTTGGCTCAAGGAAGAAAGAAAAAGAGATGACAGGGTGACACCAGGGGTCATGGAAGAAGCAGGAAAGTAGAACATACAGAATTAAAGAAAGGCAATATGTAGATTAATAGAAACAAGTTACATTAAATTTAAAAAGCTAGTGGGACAAACCCAGTAAGCTAAGGCCAAGCATTCATAATTAATAATAGGTCTCCGTGTCTTTATTTGGGAGCTGGTTGGTGGCCCAAAGAAAACACCAACTACAGAAGCAGGATCTCCACGATGTCTTTAACGGTGAAACACCAAATCTAAATCCCTCCAGGAATGACATGCAGAAACTTCAAAGAATTAAGCAACCCTGAATTTCTTGTATGCCAAACTTTCCTGTGCCTTAGCCAGCTTCATTCTTCCAGTTAGCCACAGTACAACAATCACAGATGGAATGAGCTGCAGTCTGATACACACTAGACTCTGTGCACATATGAGATTGGAGTAGTTGGGCCAGACCTGGATGTTGCTCATAAGAACATGAAAACTAAAATGAAGTCAAGGATGGCTTCATCACCAAAAGAGAGAACATTTCTCTCTTCAGTATGCCTCCCACTGCCCCACGCTCAAGTTTTGAAACATGACACCTGGAAGCTAACCCAATGGTCAGCCATGTTACCAAAATTTGGAATACATTTTACAAGGTAATCTTTACCTTCACAACCGCTAAACCTCAGAGCAAGGGAAACTGAGACTCAAGGACTGGGAAACCTGGTAAGAACATCACAGCTAGTAAATCATGGGGGTGAGAGGATTTAAACTCAGGTTCTTGTGCTCTGATGCCCCCACAACCTGATCTTTTTTTGTGAGGTTTCTCATGGTATCATATCGCTGTGTTTAGTGTCTGTGTGATGGTATGTGTCTCTGTATAGGGATCTCTTCAGAACTGAGCACAAGTCATCCAAGCAGGGCAAGATTCCCTCTCCTAGAGAGGAACCCGAGATGTCAGTCTAAAGTGCCTGCTGGAGTTAAGAGCTGATGTGGCTAAGTACGTCTGCCATCAGATGCCCCAATCACTTATCCACATCGTCAGCATAACTCTTTCAAAAAAGTTCCACTCAAGCTCCTGGGCCATTTCCAGAGCCTCATCCTTGTTTTCCTGGCAGTGGTCTCTGGCAGCATCCAGGGCCTGAGGAGGAATCAGGTACCCAGGGGCTGGGTGTTTCATATCACTACACCATTATTCGGTGTAGCCTGTTTCTTTGAGACCAGTCTTGTCGTCTTTCCAATGGAATCATGTTTCTGCTCATCAGTAAATAGCTATGTGACAGTAGAGGTCACGTGTCTCCGTGCTGCTTGCCCAAAGCAGTAACAGAAAGAGCAAAAAGATAAACAAGAAATACAAAACAAGCTATCTTGTCCTTTGAGGTAGCGACAGTTAGGGTGACTTAATGAGTTAGTGATAGTACCGGAACGCCTCTGAGAGTGAAAGTCCACGGCAGTATTTACTCCTGAAGCCAGGCATGGAGATGCATGCCTGCAAACCCCCCAATACTCAGGAAGATAAGGCTGAAGTATTGTGAGTTAGAAGCCAGCCTGGACAGCATATTGAGAACTTGTCTCAAACACAAGCAAACAAATAACTTGGCAACACATGAATTCAACTGTCCGTCTGGGCCAAGCAGTCACACCCCTAAACAGGATGTAATTTGAGGGAGAGCAGGACCTGTATCCCTGCTCTTGACTGTGTAGCCTGTACCACACTAAGACAACAGTGAGGTTGTTGTTTTAGTTTTAATATTTATATAATGCAATACAAAAGCAAGACTTTTCTTCCCCAGGGAAGGAGCTGAAAAAGAAAAAAAAGAAACAGTATGAAATATGTGTGCATTATTTTTGTTTTGTTGCCTATACTACTCCACACCGTGGATCATCCTGATTTCCCTCATCTGCACTCAGCCCCACCCCCCTCAAAATCTTATATGCCTCATGCTTTAAATTTTTCAGTCAAGGTTTTGAAAACCAAATCATTAGAATAAAGTATCTCTCCCAAAGATATGTGCATTTTAACTGTGAGCAGATCCCTAAGGCCAAGGAGCGGCTTTTGGCACCTCAGTCTATGCCATGCATGAAAACAACCTACCCCTCCTCTCACAAGGTCCCTTCATAATGAAAAGTACCACCCATTTCTAAGGTTTGCCAGAGGGCAGGAGGGCAATAAACTGACCCTCACGCTTATTGAATCCCTGGGATTAACTGACTTTAGCCTTTGTCGATACAAGGTTAATG